ACAATCATTAAATGAATTTTTTAGCGTGACCTTGTGACCTAAATTGATCTAAAACACGTTATGGTGACTACCTATTTAGATGACATTTTGACACTCAATTAAATATTATAGAGTTAGACAATTGTCCATTGAAATTAGTTAAAGATACACAAAATTAAAACTGATTAGATCCCTCGTTCATATACATCATCAATCGTCACACGGCATTTATGAATAATTTTGTTTCTTTACCTATAGAGTTGGAAGTTAAAATACATAATTTTATATGGGTAGGGGAAAGGTATTTTAGGTATGGTAGTGAAATATGGTTAAAGATAAATGCATAGGTGGACAGAGGTGTGAGAATTAAATGTGTCCCAAAATGTGCATGATTCTAGTACTAGATTCGCTCTACTCAATTTAATGTACCCTCTCAACTAAGTAAATTAAAATAATATATGCAAAAACAAACAAAGAAAGAGACTAATTTTATTTTATTATATTTCTTTTTCTTAGATATGGTATGGTATATGGTATGGCTGTGGCTGTGGCTGCCTTAATTCAAATATTTCATGCGGCTGGCTCTGTTATTGAAAAAGAATATTAATTTTACAATATGCTTTGGGAGACCAAAAATACTGCAACCACTTAACCAACGCCATGCCCTTAAATAGTGGCTGATTAATTATGCTTCCTCCATTGGACCCCCACACATTACTCTATTACCTTCTCTCTCTCTATGTTTTTTTACTTCTGCTTTTTCATCAACATCGACCTAAGAGATTAATTGACATTTCTGATGTAAGAAAATATAAATAAAATAATAATATCACAGGTGGGAGTGGAGATTCTAGTTCATGACCTTTTGGCCATAAGGATATTCCTTGAACCCTTAAGTCATTCAGGCTATCCTTTTGGATATTATAGATAAATGTCTTAATCAGTGTATAAGAATAAGATATCAATATTTTTGTAAAATTGAGACCTCGATATTTCGATTAACATCAGTATTTAGAACCTTGTTTATAACTAGCATTTGAAGAATTAATAATCACTTTGGTTTTTTTTTTCAATTAATTTTGTTAGAATAAAATAAAATTTGAAATATATATTTTCAAAATTGACTAGGATTTTATACATTTTTTTTTTTGGTTAAATTGGAAAAAGAATTGTAGACATAATTTACAAAATCAAAATGGTCATGGA